GTGAAATTGGGCCCCACACCCCGCCCCCGGGGGGTTTGGGAGGGGTTGGTTTTTTTTTTTCTTGGGGTTTTGCCCCCGGGTCTCCGGGCCGGGTTTTTTTTTCGCGGGGCCCCTTTTTTTTTTTCCGGAAAGGCCCCCCCCGGGGCCGCCCCCGGGAAAGGTTTTAGTTTTTTTTTAAAACACCCAAAAAATTTTTTTTTGGGGGGGGCCTGTTGCCCCCCCCCAAATCGGGGGGGACCCCCGGGGGGAAAAACCCGGGGGTTTCCCCCCCCCCCCCGGGGGAAAAAGGGGCCCCCAAAAAAAACCCCCAAAAGGTTAAGGGGGGGGACCCCTTGGGGGGGGTTTTTCCCCAATTTTTTTTAAAACCAAGGACCCCCCCCCCCCCCCCCCCCGGGGGGGGCCCCGGGAAAAAAAAACAATTTTTTGGGGGGGAAAAGGTTTAAAAAAAACCCCCCCCCCCAAAAAGGGACCCCCCCCCCCCCCCCCCCCCCCCCCCAATCCTCCCGGGACGGTCCCACTTGATAAAAACGCGTGTTTATTGCCGACCCGCTTGGGGGTGACCTGCATTCATCTGTCAGCCGGGTAGCACGGTCTCTGCGGTTTTTGTTGCAAACTCTCTCTCTCTCTCTCTCTCTCTCTCTCTCTCTCTCTCTCTCTCTCTCTCCTCACACACACACGCCCCCCCCGGGTCCCATCAACGGTCTCCACACCACGCAGTGCTGCGATTTCCTTGCTGCCTGCGCCGCCGCCGGACGTCGGGAGCGAGTGCGGTGCGGTAGCGCCGGGCACGGCGACCTCAACGTCAGTGGCCGCCGCCGCCGCGGGCTCGGCGGCGGGAGGGTCGGTGGCGGAGGCGTCGGCGGCGGCCGCGACAGGGCCGCCGGATTCGGGTGCAGTGGCAGTGGCAGCCGGCGCTGGAGGCGGGCAAGAGCTAGGGGAGAAAGGCCTGTTGGCGCATCTTCTCAAGCATTTTCAACCGAAGTTCATCTGTGAGTCTTTCTCTCTCGTTCGTGCCTGGCATTTTTTACATGCAGACTTTGTCGGGGCGCGTAGGAAAGATTGAATGCACCGGCAGAAGTTGTTGTTGTGTGTTGCACTTTGCTGCGGTTCACGTGGAGTAAAACTACGAGACAGTAGTGCCGCTGTTGTTACCGAGTGAGAACCAGCGCGCGAAGGAAGGACCCCGTCCCACCCCTCTCACCCCACCGCCGCTTCTTTCTCGTGTGCGAAAAAAAAACGAAAAGCCTCCTGGGTTTCCAACAAGCGCTTGCTCGAGGATGACCCGTTGGAGAAGCTCGACGACGCCGACAAGGCGGAGGCGACACGGCAGTATGGTGAAGAGCTCAAGCTTCAGGAACATAGAGAGCGCCAGCTGAAGGAGCTGCAACACGCCTCGCCGGCGCAGCCACAGAAGCAATACCCGCGACCCCTTGTGCCAACACAGCCGCGGCCGCAGCAGCAACCCCAGCCGCTGGCATGGCAGCAGCAGCAGCAGCAGCAGCAGCAGCAGCAGCAGCAGCAGCAGCAACCCCAGCAGACCTTGTACGCCCAGCAGAGCCAGCAACAGGCGCAGCGTCTCCTCGGGCAAAGATTAGCAGCGTCCGCAGAAGCGTACTTGAGGGGCAAGAGGGACAAGGAGCACCAGCAGCAAGTTGCCACGGCGCAGGCAGCGACGTACCCGCAAAACCACCAGCGGCAGCAGAGGGCAGCAGCATTACAGGCAGCGGCAGCAGCGTCCGCAGCAGCGTACTTGAGGGACAAGAGGGACAAGGAGCAGCAGCGGCAAGTCGCCACAGCGCAAGCAGCGACGTACGCGCAAAACCAGCTGCAGCAGAAGGTAGCAGCATGGCAGGCAGCGGCATTTCATCGCCGGCAGCAGCAGCTGCAAAGTGCATCAGCCGCACAAGTAACGGCGATCCAGAAGCAGCTGCTGCAACAACAAAAAGCAGCAGCCGCACAAGCAGCGGTGCTTCTCCAGCAGCAACAGCAGCAGCAGCAGCAGCAGCAACAACAACAACAGCAGGCAACGCCGTCAACATTGGCACCGGAGGCTGGGGAAGCCCTCCCCAGTGCTGCTTCCGACGCCGCTCGTTGGCTCGCAGCGACGACGACGACGGCCACAGCCGCGGGCGTCGGTGGCGCGGGTGGAGGTGCAGCTACGAGTGTCGCAACCGGCGGCCCCGACGGAGCTCTCAGACCGGCACAAGCACCAGCAGAGCAGAACTAGGAACAGGTACAACAGGACGGAGTGTTTGTGCATCTTGGGTGGACTGAAAAGTCTTTCGGTAATATCTGGAACATCCACTGTTGTGTCCACAGGTTTAGAGGACGTTTCGTACCGGGAACCCGGCGACGGGGCACTGTAGCATCTGAATTTGCTAGGTTGGGGGCGGGGGGGCGGGGGGGGGGACGTAGCGTGGTTGATTCAAGACAAACTGGGCAACTGTTGACCAAAGGTTCCCCGTAGTGTAGACGAGACAGGCCTCAGGTGCCCCTGGAACGGACATTCGTCGTACCCATAACGAGGGGTCTCAGCTTTGCAGCGCCGTCGAGTCGGACAGCGCCACTTCTGCTGGTAGTGAGCCAAGCTGGATGGATGAAAAAAAATGGTGTTTGTATCTAGCAACTGCGATTGGTCACCGAAAGTTGTTGCAGGTTATGTAGCATCGATCAATCGGACCGCTCCGCGGCGCCCTGTACCCGGGGAATTCAGGGGATGTGTCCAATGGCGAGCCTTCTCCTCAAATTATTTTCCGTTCTTTATCCTCGCCAGCCCAGTGGCAACTGCAGCGGTGGTAGGTGATTGATTGTGGTTTGATCGCGCCGCGTTCCCGCACCGATTACGCGCGCTCCGACGTGCTACTTGGTACGCTAACGCCGTTGTGTTAGCGTGATCGATAAGTAAGTGTCGCAGCAGTTCGATTAGAGCACCTGAGGAATCGCATGCACGACACATAAAACACTCGCTCGCAGCGAAAGCAAATGTTTCTTGTTTGTTTGTGGACTTGGGGGTAGAAGTAAATCGGCACCCCGAACTCACCCGCCAAAGCCCCATCACCCCGTGCTTGTGAAACGCAGATTGAACGTGCCCCGCACACGCAGCCTGAGGTTGAGCGGGGCTAGCCGACTTGTCCTTGCCGAAGCAAGCGGTTCCTGCCCTGGCTGGAACGAGATTGCAGTTTTTTCGATGTTTGAACGATACTTACAGTATGCATTTTTGTTAGACAGCCAAGCGCGGTATTGCTCATGCGTTTTTATGGTGCTGCCGCCTGCGACTCTGTGATGGTCGATCAAGGCGAGAGTGGTCTCCTCCCTTGCACGGGGTACCACACTGGTGGTGCTACTGTACTGCTGCTGCCGTCGTCTACGAAGTTGGGCGATGTTGTGGAGGCGTGCGGGCCGGCTTGTTCATGGCACATTCCTGTTGGGAGCGAATTGATGCCAACCCTCGCCCCTGTCACGCAAACAGCGCTGCTCTGAGTTTGGTTTGATAGCGTGGGAACGGGTGCGTTGTCCTGCGATTTTCACCCGAAGTCGTGTCTTAGAAAGGCTGGGACAATGCGTAGGACAGAAAGCGTCGTGTCAGGTTTTTGTGTGCGGAAATCACGCGCTGTTCGGACCGCTTCGGGCGGCAAGCGCACAAAAAGTGGTGCCTTCTTTGTTGGGTGAGGGCGCACAAAGAGGTGCTGGTTGTTTGCGCGAAACAACCGCATGCGGTACAAACTGCCTGTTGTCGGAGTGCTTGAGGCTGGTCAGAAGGTAGCCAGCAAAGTGGACGCCAACAGCGCACGCACAAGGACACCAAAGGTTGCGCGCACTTGCGGCAAACGAACCGCTTTGCGGGTGGCGATTTGGAGCGGGCTTGTACTTTCGATTTTTTTTCTTTGTCGCTGTGTGTTTTCAACATGGCAGCTGTGGCGAATGGCGTCGCTGTGCTTTCTGCTTTGCTCGTTTTCACGGCAAAATGCCTTCCCTGCCGTAGCAACGGCGGTAGCGTCGAGAGTAGGGTGGTAGCGCGAAGCTCGTGCCGCGGACTCGTGAACGACACATGCGTTTTGAGTAGAGTAGGCTTTTACGGTGTAGTTGTGAGTGCTGTGACTAGAGTCGACACTCGTGGTCGGGGCGCGCGGGCGAGACGAAAAAAGCTGGTACATCTCTCCTGGTACATCTCTCCGTGTGTTTAGGCCACTCAGCTACGTACTGCACCTGGTGTGTTTTGTGTGTTTGATACCCCCTCCCCCCCCCCCCTCGATGACCAGCTTCTGGTTCATCCTTGTGAACTCCTTGTGAACCGTACCGTAGCCTGGGCCGGCGAAAACCCGGCATACCACTCCGTTCCGGCGTTGTATTGTAGGGATGCGAGGTCAATGATCTAACGAGCAGAGCATGCGGGTACATGCGTACACCCCCTGCCCCTCCTCTTATTTTCCGTTGTGCAGATTTTTTGGATATGAGAGTCCGTGTGCGTGTATGTGTTGGTTGGGAATCCGCCTTGTTGTTGGACTTTGCGTCGTTGCTGGATTGTAGCACGCGACGTAGACCATCTGATCGCGTGAACGTGTGCTGTGATTCCCACAGCCTCACGCTTTGGAAAACTTGTACGGACAAGATGAAGATTTCGTTTTTCTCTCAAAAGTATGTTATCCCATCCATGCTGAACTTGTGTCATATTGTTCGTCTCGCTTTGTCTGTAGTTTTCGTCTGATGATCATGATTGTTGATTGGATGGAGAGTGTGGTCCTGCACATGTCGGGGGGGAGGGATTCGGAGCCGAGGAGGGCCATCCTTGGAGCCAAGTCTTGCGCACGCGCCTGCGCTCCTCCTGGATTACGTTTTTTTAGAAGTTCAAGTTTATCACACTGCATGTATAGTGTTGGTTCTACTTACCTTTTCCGTTGTTTCTCTCGCACAGCGAGATGCTGGATTTTGTAGAGTTCCGCTACTTGTAGTACTTCCCGCCTTCTGCGGAAGAGGTGGGGGCTGAGAGGGGGGGGGGGGTTACGAATCACCGCCAACTGTTATGTACGAACTGGGCAGGCAACAAATGATTATCAGTTGGTTTTCAAGGCTAGCCACTTGCTGGTGTAGAGCCGTTGGCGCGCAGGTTGGTGACCTGTTGCATGCAGTCGTATTACTATGGAGGCATTTTGCTCTCGGTGGTCTTGTAAATAGTGGTTCTGCTTCTATAGGTAAAATTGAAAGCACGAGAGAGTGCAGCGATCATGATCCAATGAAGTGTGGTCACGAGAACGAGAGAGTGAACGAGTCCAGAACGTGTGGTCGTTGATGCAATCATTCGCGTGTGAGTGGTGAACCACGATGACGACGACAATGACGATGATGATGACTTACGTAATCCTCAGGCATCAGACTTTCTGCCAGTGGTGGCAGGGCAGAGTAGAGGCACCGCTCGAAATATCACGCATTTCGAACAGCTAGAGGTGTTGTTCCTCTCTAGACCAACGATTCACAGCATATCTTGAGTGCGTCACAGCTAGGGTGAGGTGTAAGCATGACGCATCAATCTCCGTTTCACGATTCTTGCGCTCGTTCACGACGGCGTCCGCTCCACCATGGTCCCGGTCACGACCAAAGTGTCTCTGGGCAACGTCTCTTGCGGCACAGCCTCTTCTTTGGTGTTGTGTGTGTTTTCACGCGTATCGTCAAATACATTATTTCATGGACGAAGGACAACCAGCACACAGATCGGATATACTCTGTAAGTCGTCTTGTCGTTGTTTTTCTTCCCCCATCGACCCTGCCCATCGTTGTCCTTGGACAACTTGACGTTCAGGGTCACACCCTCTGTCAATATTGTGATGGCAACATTTTCGACGAAAACGTGTGTCAGCTTTTAGATTCATTCTTTCGTCATCGTGGCATTCTTAATTCAATCATATCGATCATTTGAAGAGCAGAGAGACCTTGCCTCCCGGCCTATCTTACACCAGCGGCGAGGTTCGCCTTCGTTGTGTAGTTGATTCGCTCGGAACACCGAAGGGCGTGAAAGGAGTCGTCCGGTGGTAGATATTGAGGGTTGGTTGTGGTGGATCCAGTAAAAACAATGTGAACAAATGTGAAGTGTCGAGGTGCCCTTTACCCAAGGGTCGTCTGCAGGCGGTTAAGCCCATGTGCAGTTCCAGACAGAAGTCTGTGTGATGTTCAGACCGAAGTCTGTGCCGGCCGAGGTCTGTTGACGCAGTGACCGAAAGTCGACGTTGTTGCTAAATGCCGCTTTGGGACTTCTACTGCTTTTCTATCTTGTGCACTTCACATCTTCCTTACTACAGAGTTGAGATGTTGAGGGATAGTCTAGTTGGGAGTGAATCTGGTGGGGCTTGCAACACCTCGTGATCTCGCTAGAATGACAATCATCAATTATTTCACGAGCTCCTCGTAAAACTCGTCGCTACAAGTACACGTTACGTTCTACTGTAGTACAAGTATTCCCAAACGTCACTCACACCGCATCTATAGTACGAATAATTTTACTTACAGCAATCATTACAGCTAGCTGCATCTACATCATATGACTACACACATCCTACGGCAGTATTTCAACACAATGATCCGTGAGACTAGAAAACAGACCACCGTCATCGGGTGCACTGCTACGTCGTTTACCATCTAGCCGTGTACCTGTTTGCCAAAGAACGTACGTGTTTTTACTCTCCCTCTCCTGCCCTCCTCCCCCTTCTCCCCCGCCTTCTCGCTCCAGGACCTTCCCTCTTCCACCACTTCTCTACAAGTACATACTTCGCAAACACCACCACCACAACCAAACGACAGAAAAGTGACGACAGAAAACCAGTTGTTCCTTGCGTACAGGCGGTCACCCTAGTGGTCTACAATCGGGTGACGTCACAAAGAGTGAGAGATCCATTGCCGATCATCGAAGTTCGAGAAAATCTATTTACCGCACTATATGCCACCTACCACATACATACATACGACAACACATACCACGTCACTACATGAGCAGTGATATTGGACATTGGCAACGAACAAGGAGATACCAGGTATGTACATAGGCATTCCCATAGCACTACATACTGTTGAGCTCGAAAGGACGGGTTCTCCATTTGAGCGACCCTACAGTATATAGTCACTCACATAAAAACAATGTTTGGCTTCAAAATGTGGAGACCACCTTCATAAAGGTAGAAACTCCCCAACGTCTGTCGAGGACGATTCCCTCTTTTCACAATGGCGTCGACGAAGAGATGTCAGGGTGTCTGCTTTTGGTTGCAAAAGACACGGGTTCAAAACCCGCTGGTCACCAAATTTTCATCAAAACTGCCATTCATTTGGCCGCCCTCAGATACACACGGCCGCACACGTTACATATTATATGCCACCCACCACATAAATACGACAACACATACATACCACGTCACTACATGAGCAGTGATATTGGACGTTGACAACGAACAAGGAGATACCAGGTACGTAATAGACATTCCCATAGCAACACATACTGTTGAGCTCGAAAGGACGGGTTCTCCATTTGAGCGACCCTACAGTAGTCAGACCCTACAGTAGTCACTCACATAAAAACAATGTTTGGCTTCACAACTGGCATTCATTTTGGCCGCCCTCAGATACACACGGCCGTCCCAGGCTGACCCGTCGATTTCGTCAGCTACGACCACACTCACTTTTGCCCCTTTATCCACTCAAGCACAACACCGTGCCCGCAATTAGCAGCAGTTTTTGCGCACGTGTCCTTGTCCCATGGGCACCCATGCTCCCTTGCCCAAGTGAGCATTCTCAGATCGCCCCGCTCGGTGGCCAGAGAGCAAACGCCTCGGTCCCAGCCGTGTCCTCGCTGCTTGGCCCATATCAGAGCCGCTAAACTCCCACCAGCGGCCGCGCCGACGGTTACATCGTACAAACCGCTCGGACAGCCGTTCGCGGTCAGCCATTCCAGTATTGTCAAGTCGCCCGCGCAGGCAGCGAGAAGGAAAACGCCTTTGCTTAACGGGCATCCCTGCGTAGATACGGCCCATTTCAGCATTTCATGGTTTCCAATTTCGGCCGCAAGCTGTGGAACTTGTTGTCGAATAATGTCCATGTTGTTGTTGTTGGTGGTGGTGGTTGTGGTGGTTGTGGTGGTGCTGGTGCTGCTGCTGCTAATGGTAGTGGTTTTGCCGTGCAGACGGGAGCTTCTCCTGTTCCAACATTCGAGCTTCTTTGCCGCCATTTTTAACCCGAAGAGATTTCCCGCGCGTGCGGTCGTGTAGAAGATGTTATCGTTGTTGATCGCCCCCCTACAATCACACTTCTCCTGGTTGCCAGTGGCATCCGTCATCACTTGCTGCTCCGCAGTGCGCCAGAAGCTCGGGTCATCGAGGACGCACTTCGTTCTTGCCGGGGTTGCGGAGGCCATCAAGACCGATGTCTGTTTATGACGACCGCTCGCCGGCATCACCCACGCCGTTTTCCACGCCTTGCTCACGCTCGCCAGGTAGAGGAAGTCGTCCGGCGGACAGTAGGCCACCACTTCTGATATGACATCTGCTGTGTTCATCAGCGGATTTTCGGGCGCCATCTTGCTTGTGTGGAACCGTCCGCGTCGGGGTGGCTGATTGGTTCGATCTTCTCCCTTTTCCCTCCAAAGGATGGGTCCGCCCGCACCTAAATAAACAACATTTCATGGTATGTAGGTATTTGACGCGAGAACTTGCTCGGATAGTTAGCTCGAAACAGAACGTGGACGTGCTTCCGGGGAAAGGAATCATTGTATTTGCGATGAGTTTGGGTGTCGTGTACGCGTGGACACGGCACTGGATGTGAAATCCACCGATATATTCGAGACGCTAAGCCACCTTTTCGCCAAACAGAGAGTTATGGTGCAAATATTCTGTATGCCCATGAGCTCTGGACACGGCTGGCTGTGGCGTCCAACCCGAGCGTTCCCAAACCGAATTTTCCAATAACTCAATCAATTGTTTGTCTCGGTTCCCTTGTAGGCTGATTGGGTGAAGGTGCATCAACGTGTTGTCGCATCAGGTCATTGACTATAAATCTCTGTATTGACGCGTTGTGTGTTTTGGTCTCATTGGGTCAGCGGCTTCAGCAACTTCGGGTGTAGCCGATCATGACAATCATTGTGAGAGATGCCACCCCAACAGGATGGGCTGTTTGTTCTGGACGCCTAGGTTCTGAGTACCCCTCACGGCAGACGCAGCCGACTTGGACGTACTGAACAGCAGTCGTAGCGCCGGGCGAACCTAAATTGATCGCACGGCCCGTTGATGATGACTGCAGGAACAAAAAAAGACGGTTTGCTGATATTGACTAACTAGGGTTAAGAATTGGCCCCCAGCCCCCCATTGGGGCTGGAGGCCAACATCCAGGACGGATGGTGGTGAGTGCCCGGGAGGAAGGAAAGAAGAAGAAGAAGGGGAGAGGATTTGAAGGGGCGGGAAGAAGAGACGGTGTTGGGAGAGGCAAGGAAGTGGTGAAGAATTTCGGCACTCGACGAGCGCGCGGTCCCGTCGGGGGTGAAAGGGACATGTCAGTCCGTCGTCTTGTCTATCGGAATCGAAAAGCCGAAAAATCGAGGTATATATTATGTACATAACGATGATGGAGAAGGCCGACGAGGAAGGTACGAAGAGAGGAAATTGCACCCCACGTTCGAAGTTCGAAGTCGGTGTGAAAACCGCGGCAAGGAAGGAGTGCGAAGGAAAAAAACAAAAGGAGACGTCGACGGTTGCGGCGTGGAACGATCCTTCCGTATAACGCAGGTACTCACCAATGCAAGACGGGGAGGAGGTAAAATACCCATCGTGAAAGTCAAAGCGCAGGTCATAACCAACCGCATATATGACTCACGCGCGGAGAAGTTACCACGGAGATTTATCAACAAGAAGTTTGAAGGTCGGCCGAGAAGGTTTGAAGACACGAATACTTAAGCGACGTTGGCAGGCTCAACGTCAAAACTTCACAACAAGAAGAAAAGTGCATACTTGTACAAAAAAAGAAAAGGCCGGATGGATGCCGACCTATGGCTCTCTCGGAATGTAGGGATTCCTACAATTTCCAACGGGTAGGTATAATCCACAAGTAAGTACGTACGAACATATGAAGGTACTGGGTAGAGAGAGATCGGAACGGTTTTTAATGTGAAGACACAACAACAACAACAACAACAAATGATGAAATTCGACCCGTCCTGCGTCGTTCGGTCTAAAATGATGCGAAATATTGACTGCGTAAAGATCCGGCGGTCTTTTTCGGCAGTGGC